GGGGGGGGAGCGGCCTGCGTTGCAGCCAGGCGGTATTTTCCCACCAAGAGGAACGCTGAACGAGACAATCAGTCATTATCCTAACGAGGAGAGGTTACAGGGTTCCCATCTCACCCTGTACACTGCCAGCCGCAAGGATATCATTAATGTAATTAACACCTGGAATTTGGTCCCCAGCACGTGACCCGAGTGGGACACATCCCCACGGCTGCTGTTACAAACAGTACATTGCAAAAAATTCCTTTTTTTTTTTTTTAAAAAAAATAAATTACTAAAGCACAGCTTCCCTGACAGGTGACATCCCTGGGCTTGTTTTGCAGACACGGTGAGAATCACGGGACCGTCCCCTCCCAGGGAGGACACCGCGACACCTCCCTGCGATGCTATTTTAAATAACAACCTGTGCTTTTCCTTTTTCTTTTCTTCTCCCCCCTGCTTTTTCAAATGCACCACCACCGACTCCGCTACGCCCGTCACATTTAAGGGATTTGATTTTAGGTGACTTCCACGGATGGACGCTGGTGTTCCAAAATCCAGAAGCTGAGCACCTCTGAACTTAACCATCTCTCATATCATGAGTCTCCCGTCCCAAACTGCCATCTGGCACAGCTTTAATTTCAGCTTTATTTTTAGTTATATGTTTATATATATTTATTGATACCATATTTATATTTATTTTTATATATATAAGCTTTATCTACGCTTTAATTCCACACTGATTTATTATTACCACGTCCACATCCTCCTGCCAAACTCCCTCCCCAACTAACCAACAGCTAGTTTCACCGCACAACTTCTTGACCATTTCCAACAATAAACACCTCACCTACGGACCCAGCCAGCCCCCCGTGCTCCCGTTTCATCACAGCCGGCTTATCTCATGAAGGAAAAATCCACGAGGACAACCGGGGTCATGTGTAAGGGACGACACGCAGCACAGCCCAAAATGAGGAGTTCCCCTGGTATTTCGGTAGCGAGGTTTGGACTCTGGTGTTTATTTCTGGTGCGTTAGCAACTGATGGAGCCGCTCAGCTGAAACCATTCAGAGTGGCCAAGAGAAGGGCTCAGGGCCAAAGCTCGGCTCCGGAAAGCAAGCTGGTGGAGAAGGTCCAAAGCTTGACCATCTGATTTCCAAGTGACTTTTTTTTATAGTCCCGCAGCAGTTCGTGATGCTATCGTCGGATGAGAAAGGATACGGGATATGGCTTTGAGATGGCCAAGGCAGCGGCATCCTTGGGATGCTAGAGCATCCCTGCAGGTCTTCCATTGATAAGCTGCAAATTCATGGAATCCTAGAATGGTTTGGGTTGGAAGGGACCTCAAAGATCATCTACTTCTAACCCCCCTGCCATGAGCAGGGACACCTTCCACTACACCAAGTTGCTCAAAGCCCCATCCAATCCGGCCTTCAACACTGCCAGGGATGGGGCAGCCACAACTTCTCTGGGCAATTCCAGTGCCTCATCACCCTTATTGTAAAAAAATTCCTCCCGAACAGTGGTCTGCTGGCCATACCATTGCCTCCGAGACTTTACTGAAGTCAACCGAGGGTTGTGGGGGAAATTAAAAATAAAGCCCCTCACGCTAACAAGCAGAGAGCAGAAAAGCAGCAAGAGCACGACGCTTTTTTTTATTCCTCACCCCAGAATTGGAGGAAAAAAGCGAGTAGCAACTTTGCACGTTTTCTGGCTGCACCTTTCAATCTTTCAGGGAACTGCCGGTGAAAAAAATGTTTGCTGCTGCTTGTAAGTGTACAAAGGGTCTTAAAGTGTGTTTTGAATAGAGCCGGGCTTGGCAAACCTGGTGTTTAGTTACCAGAGCTAAAGCAGAGCTTATCCCAGGGTGTAAGGCCTTGCAGATGGCAGGACTCCAGTTAACTGGAAACTGGGACAAGGAACCGTTCCAGAACCTCAGCTCCTGTCTTCTGGCCATAAAAGCAAGAGAAAGATCCTTAAAGTAGCCAAGTACTGCAAAAAAAAAATCAAGTCCTTCACATAGGTTTGGGCCTTTTACTAAGTCCTACCGCATCTGGAGGAGCCCATTTCATGGGCATGTAGTGACAGGACAAGGGGCGATGGCTTTAAACTGAAAGAGGGGAGAGTCAGATTAGAGCTAAGGAGGAAATTCTTCCCTCTCAGCGTGGTGAGGCACTGGAACAGGTTGCCCAGAGAAGTTGTAGATGTCCCATCCCTGGAAGTGTTCAAGGCCAGGTTGGACGAGGCTTTGAGCAACCTGGTGTAGTGGAGGGTGTCCCTGCCCATAGCAGGGGGGTTGGAACTAGATGATCTTTGAGGTCCCTTCCAACCCAAACCATTCCAGGATTCTATGACTCTAAGACTGGAAGGGCTGTCCGAGCATGTATCGACTTGCCCTAAAATTAAAATTATGGGAAATCACACTAGTTTCAATATTCAGTTTTGATATATACGGAAAATTAGTGCTCCGAAGTGGCTGTCTCAGCATTCGTTTTCCCACCCAATTTCTGGGTCCCTTAACAGGCCAGAGGGCCGGTTCGCTCAGTCAGCTCCCGAAGCACAAAAACTCCATAATTTTACTTGTAGCACAGACAGCATTTAGGGGAAATCCTCTCTTTAATGCTGATCCAGTTACCCTCTGTTAGGAAACGTGTTCTGAAGTGGGATATCTCTGCACTGGATCACTGCTGTGTCGAAGCAATGACTCACAATTCGCCATGACGATTCTTAGAAAAATGAGACCTCAAAGCCCATTTCTCTCCCATTTCAGACTTAAAAAAAAAATAATGTGTTTTTGTTTGGAATGAGTGAATTCTAAGGATCATGTTTCACAGTGTAAGTTTACAGAATTAAGTATCCAACTTATCTTCAACATAAATTCACTCGAGATAAAGTTTTGCAAAACAGACCAGAGGAGAAAAAAAAAAAGAAAGAAAAGAAAGAAAAAAAATACTTATATAATTTTTGAAGTGGCTGGAGATAAGACCTTGGTTGTACTGGACGCTAGGCAGTATCTGATGGTAGAGCAGGTCCTCAGCCCCTTAGCACAATTTACTAGGTTTGTACGCCCATCTACATTCAGAACATTTTATTATGGGTTCTTCAGCTGCCTGGTTGCTTAAATATTTATTTGGGTAAAAGCCAAGCTCTTCACTTGCTGCCCTGGGGCCGTGCAGCTATGTCAGGACATCCCGTAAAGCCTCCTGAGATACCCAACGAATGCCACGGGCACAGACCAAACTGGGGCTGACCCTGGCAGGGGCTTTGTCAGAGCCTTCCCAAACTCAGCCTGGAAAATCCAAGCGTCCCCTGACTTATGGACTCGCCACCACAGTAGCAATCTGCAAAAACCACCCGAAAACAGAGGTCACTGGAGTTGGGTTTGCAGCAATGCGGTTGCTGCCTACAAATGTCGTCTGCACGAGTGGTACCCAGAGCTGAAATCGGGCATCATTGGCCAGGAGGGACCCAGGAAGAGGAGGAGGAGGAGGAGAAGGAGGAGGCAGCCAGCAGGGATGGAGCCAAGCATTATGGCAAGGTTAATAAAAACAGCCATCGGAGAAACAAAGTCAACAAACGTTGAATGTTTGGATGTTTTTTTCCGCCAGTGGGACGAAATCCCCAGTCTCCAGTTATCCGGATGCCTCTCGGAG